CCTCCAGGTTCCTGCCCTGAGTTCCTACCTTGGGCTCCCTGATGAACTGTGACCTGGGAGATGTAAGCTGAATAAACCCTTTCCTCCCCAAGTTGGTAGTGGTCAGAGTGTTTTGTCACAGCAAGGAAGAACAAACTAGGACACTAGGTAAAGGGGACCCCCAACCTCCAGCAGGCTCCCTCAGGTAGGGCTTGCTGTCTGCCCTCTGCTGCCGTCTCCTCTGTGCCCACCAGTGGGTTCCATCGTCCATGAGAAAAACATAATGGGTGTGCTTCCCCGACCCTGCTGGGGAAACAGGACCAGAAACAAAACCTGCTGCCCTCCCAGAAAAGCTCCCTGTGGGTGGAAAAGAGCAAGCAGGATTTACTTTTTAATTGAATAAGAATTAGGAGTGGTGACACTGCCGGCCAGAGCTCACCCTAGGTGTAGCCAGGCAGATGGCACACACATTCTCACTGTAAACCATGGCTGATCCTCAAGGAGGAGGACACAGGTGTTGCATACAGCTCATCCTGAACTCACCTGGTCATTGGTCTAACCTTCTGCTGGCTAACTGTCCTTATCCAAATTAAAAGCAAACTTTGTATTTTTATGACAGGAGCAAAGTTTGCAGCTCAGGCGCCAGCCTGCCTGAGGTAGGCACCCACCTCCCTGGGAGATGGGCCGCTGGGCTTTCCTCCTGTTTATATCTCCAATGGATGGCTCTGAGATCCTTGAGGAAGACCTTGGTGGGTTGTAAAGCTAGAAAAAGGCTTAGCTTAAAAAACCCTTATATATGTTTTGAGGACAGAGCCAGAGCCTAAAAAAAAATGCCCTGAGAAAAAGGAGTTGTTTCCCCCCCTCTTTGTACCAGGAAAAGTGATTTTTCTTTAGACACCCAATTCCTACCTCTAGTCAGGGTCCTGATTTTCTAATCTGCATAGGTACCCCCAGATCTGACTCAGGAGGTAACCTGGGGGAGGTCAAATAGAGGGCTGGTCTCTGTGAGGGCCTCCAGGGTGGGTTTTCTAGTGAGGATAATCCAGTCATGGTGCCCCAAAGTCAACACTGGCTAACACCTCTAAGAGCCCTTGCCCATGACCAGCACGAAGCCAGCTTTGAGTCTCCATGTGACAGCTAGCCACAGAGTCCCTGGTGTGCTAAAGGAGATAATGGTGGATGAAGCCAGACCCCAGTCTTTGGAAAGAAAGCCATGTCACTGTGGCTCAAAATCAGGTAGCATGTTTGGGAAGACAGACCATTAAGAGCATGTCAGGCAGTAAAAGGTGTTGGAAGGGTGCTGGAGAATGTAGCTCAGTTGGTAGAGTGCTTACTTAGCATGAACAAAGCCCTGGGTTCTATCCCTAGCACTGCTTTAAAAAGCCAGGCATGGTGGCACAGGCCTACAATCCCAGCAGTAGGGAGGTGGAAGCAGGAAGATCGTAAGGTGAAGGTTATCTTTGGGTGCCTGCTGGGTTTAAGGCCAGCCTGGGCTACATGAGACTCTGTCTCAGAAATAGGGGTTGGAGAAATGGATGAGGGGTTAAAGAGCACAGACTGCTCTTGCAGATGAGTTCACTTCATTGCACCCATGTTGGGAAGTTCACAACTGCCTGCAGCTCTAGCTCTGGGGGGTCTGACACTGTAGGTACCTGTATTCACATACCCCTCTCCCCCACATACACACAACTAAAAATAAAAATAAATCTTTTTAAAGAGGTAAGGGGTTGAGGAAATATAAGAGGGAGTTTGGCTTGTTCATTGAGGTCTCAGGGTAGTCTGTGGAGGCCAAACCCTGGGACATCCCAACAGCTGCATGTTCTGTGGGAGCTGTGTTCTGTACACAAAGAGAAACAATCAGGAATGTTTAGAAAATGGGTACAAAATAACATGAACGCCAGGTCATGAACTATGAACTGGTGAGCATGTTCCTGATGGTGGTGGTAGTATGTGTGTGTGTGTGTGTGTGTGTGTGTGTGTGTGTGTGGTGGTATGCATGTGGTGGTATGTGTGTGGTGGCCTGAGGTGTCCTGAAAGGGTTTGTCCTGAAATGTGGATAGGGACTTTGAGAGAGGGGCCTACTGACTTAGGAGTGTGGGGACAGATCTGCCTTCCTGGAGCTGTTTTTGTTTTTGGTGTTGGCACTTGGGATTGAATTCCCGGCCTTGAACATGGAGGCAAGCACTCTGCTGCAGAGCTACGTCCCCAGCCCCCCTAGGGGCCTTCTTAAGTGGGTTTTACACAGTCTCTGGCCTTACCTCAGGTACTTGGGTGCCATGCCCTCATATACTGCTCTGCCCATGCTGAGGGGTGGGCCTTAAGGCTCTGGTCTGGGGCTTAGGAAACCTATTTTTACTTCTTTTAAAAATTTTTATTTTTAATTATGTGTACATCTGTGTGTGGGTATGTGCATGTGACTGCAGGTACCCATAGAGAGCAGAGGTGTTGGATTCCCATGCAGCTGGAGTTACAGGTGGTTGTGAGCTGTCTGATGTGGGTGCTAGGAACTGAATTTGGACTCTCTGGAAGAGCAGTACACACTCTTAACTGCTGAGCCATCTCTCTAGGCCAAGACCTGGGTTTTATCCAGTTCTGCCATTCAGTCATCTCTTGGCACATCAAGGGCCCTCTCTGGCCTAGCTGCTTCTTTGCAAAATGAGAATTGTACTGATTTACCATCAGGTAGGCAAGCAATTAGAAACCCTGTGTGTTTTACCTGAGGGAAAAAGAGCATGATTTATGAGATTGGAAGGGGGGGTGGGAAAATGGGTTTTGACCTCGTGCCTGGGCCATTCTCTCTCTATCCCTAGATGGCAGGGCAGAGACCTTGACAGCACTGATGCAGTGGGAGGCCTGCAAGGATGGAGAACAGCCAGGCTAGCAACAGCACAGGTAAGAGAGAGGTCAGCTCCCTTCTCCCATCATCATGGTGGTAGTAGTTGTGGTCATTGTCACCCTCCTCCTCCTCCCCCTCCTCCCCCTCCTCCTCCTCCACCTCCTTCACCTCCTCTTCCTCCTCCTCCTCCACCTCCTCCCCCTCATCCTCCTCCCCTTCCTCTTCCTCCTCGTCCCCCTCCTCTTCCTCCTCCTGCTCCTCTTTCTCCTCTTCTTTCTTTTCCCCCTTTCCTGCTCTTTATCTTTTTCTCTTGTCCTCCCTGAAGCCAAGTGTACCTTGCTGCTCTCAGTATCATCTAGACCACAGGATTTCAGGGTAGGGAACAGGACTTTGAAGGTCGTGCAAAGAACAGAACAAAGAAGGGGACTTGGGAGCAAAAGAAACAGCAAAGCCAGGTCAGAGGAGACTCATAACAGGCTGGGTAGGAAATGTGGTGTGTTTTAAATGCCAGAACTGGGACTTGAAGGCGGTTCTGTTGATCAAACATGGAGAATGAGCACTCTGGGTAGGGTGGTTTGCTAAAAGCCCTGTTGTTTATTGATTACAAAGCTGTCCTCATTCCAGGCCACTTGAGATCATGAGGTCACTCAGAGTTCAGAGTTTTCATCTGCTCTATGACACCAGCAAGCAGTCTGGGGATTTCCCAGGCAAGTGCTGTCTGGAGTGGAAAATTTTCCTGCCTGGTCATGTGCTCTGGACAGAGCCCTCTGCAGTGCTGCAGCAGCCCCTAACACCTGCAGGCAGCTCGCCTGGCTCTTGCTAGCAGCTCTGTCTTGGGAGCAGAGAACATTATTCTGTAATGATGACTGAGGAGTGTTAACTGTAAGCCAGAGGCTTTGATCACCACCTGAGCCCTAGGGAAATGTGCCCCTGGGGCAGGCTGAAGTTCAAGGGCACCTCCTTCCTTAGCTGCAGGACCTGCTGGGACAAGTGCTGGGCTTATGTCCCCTATGCCCTTCAGCCAGGTAGATGGGAGAGGCTCTGTCCAGGGTTATCTTTCTGGTTGGAGGGTTGGGAGAGGCTCTGTCCAGGGTTATCTTTCTGGTTGGAGGGTTGGGAGAGGCTCTGTCCAGGGTTATCTTTCTGGTTGCTCTTGATGGATGTCAAGAGCAAATTTAACCAGGAAGGTGTTGACTTGCGGGGCTCTGGGTTATTGAATGGAGACTGTCAGTCAGGGACAGTGATCCTGGGTCTTTTGAGTATACCCGGGATTCACTCTTGGGCTTCCGGTTTAGATGCTTGGTACTACATACTTCCTTTTCCCGTACTTCAGTGCAGGTAAGGAGACAGTCCTATAATCAATTCAACTCATTGCATTTGGAGATTCAGTTGCTGCCAATACCTAATTGAAATCACCACTTTCATTCTAAACAGTGACTTGCTAAAATGCTTTCTTGTGACCAAGCACAGGAAGGCATATGAAGTTGTTTTGCAGGAAAGAAATTGGCTCCTTAAAGACACTTCCTATGATGTTTGAGGCCATGACACAGAACTAAAGGGCTTCTGGTCCTAGAACTAAGTGCCACCAGAGTAGAAGTGAAGGATTTTTTCTTCATATCTCTAAAACTCTGTCTTTAGATTAAAAAACTATTTTTATTTTATATGCATGAATGTTTTGCCTGCATGTATGGAAGTGTGCCCATGCATGCAATGCCCAAAGAGGCCAGAAGAGGGCGTCAGATCCCCTGGAACTAGAGTTATGGATGGTTGTTAGCTGCTATGTGGGTGTTGGGAGTCGAACTTGGATCCTCTGCAAGATCAGTAAGTGCTTTTAACTACTAAGTCATCTTTCCATTCCCTAAAACTTAAAAAAAATTAAAAAAAATTTTATGTGTATGAGAGTGTTGCCTGCATGTAAGTGCAGCAGTGCTGTGCAGTGCCCACAGAGGTCAGAAGAGGGCGTCTGATCCCCTGGAACCGGAGTTAGCTGCCATGTGGGTGCTGGGAACTGAATGTTGGTCCTCTGCAAGAGCAGCCAGTGTTCTCAAATGCTGAGCCATTTCTCCAGCCCCCATTCCCTAAAACTTTGAAAGCTTAAAACTTACAATACTTGAATATTCTCATAAAAATTCAAAGACAAAGTGAAGCTCGCCTTTGACCTCTCCAGTCCTCTGCTATCTTTATGGCATCTGAACGCTGGTGTGCCTCACCTTGACCATGCACCGCGCTTTGTTTTTCTAAATTACATCAGGTGATTAATATAATAATTTTTTTCAACTTTTTTTTTCCTCTTAAAATGTTTGGAAATCTTTGGCATTGTCATGTAATGTTCTCCTTCAGTCTTGTCAACTGCTGCATAATATTTCCTATTATGAAGAGAATGATTTTTTTTTTTTGTCTTTTTGAGACAGGGTCTCCATGTAGCCCCAGCTGTCCCGGAACTCACTATGTAGACCAGGCTGGCCTCGAACTCACAAAGACCGCCTGCCTTTGCCTCCCAAGCGCTGGGATTAAAGGCGTGCACCACCAAGCCTGGCATTTGGTTTTTTTGAGACAGGGTCTCCCCACAGCCCCAGTTGGTCTGGAACTTACTATGTAGACCAGGCTGGCCTCAATCTCAAAGAGATCTGCCTGCCTCTGCCTCCTGAGTGCTGGGAATAAAGGCGTATGCCATCATACTTGGCTGAGTAAAAATTTTTTAAAAAATATTTTATTAATTTTTTTTATTCGTGCGTGTGTGTGTGTGTGTATTACACGTGCTTACAGTGCCTGTGGGGGTGAGAAGAGAGCATCAGATACCTTGGAGCTGGAGAACAGGTGGTTGTGAGCTGCCCAACATGGGTGCTGGGAACTAAACTTGAGTCCTCTGCAAGAGCAATACACACTTTTAAAGACGGAGCCATCTCTCCAGTCCTGGAAACAGGGCACTCTTAACTACTGGGCCATCTTTCCAGTCCCAGTCCATTTCTTTTTATTGCTGAATGTTCCTCCTTGTATAAATATAGCATAATTTATCTATTTGTTCCCTTTTCCAAGGATATCTTGTTTGGAATTGTTTTCAACTCATTTGGGTCAATACCCATAACATGGATTAAATGATAAGCTAATGTTCAACTTTGTAAGACATTGGCAGTGTCTTCCAAAGTGGCTGTACCATGTGCATCCCCACCAGCAAGTTCTAAAAGTGATTTTGTTTGCTTTTATACCGAACAACCTTGCTGAACCTGTGCTGGTTAGCTTTAGTGTCAACTTGACACACCTGGGTAGAGGGAACCTCAGTTGGGGAATTTCCTCTATTGGACTGGCCTGTGGCCATGTCTATGGGGCATCTTCTTGATGAGTGATGTGGGAGGGCCCAGCCCACTGTGGGTGGTGCCACCCCTGGGCAGGTGGGCCTGTGTTGCATAAGAAAGCAGGCTGAGCAGGAGCCAGGGAAGCAAGCCAGTAAGCAGCGTTCCTCCATGGCCTGTGCTCCAGCTCCTGCCTCCAGGTTCCTGCCTGAGTTCCTACCTTGGGCTCCCTGATGAACTGTGACCCGGGAGATGTAAGCCAAATAAACCCTTTTCCCCTCAAGCTGGTAGTGGTCAGAGTGCTTTGTCACAGCAATGGAGAGGCAAACCAGAACACTATTTATTAGGGAATGCTTTTGCACATCTAGGTTAATATTTATAAGCAAATGACAGTTTTCTCATCTTCCCAGCACTTGTATATTTCCTTCTTTCTCTCTCCTTTGCTTTGGCTGATTCCTCAAGTCCAGGGCTGAATAAACAAATGATAGCAGGTATCCTTATTTTGATCTTAATGCTAACAGTTTTCTATTCTTTTGCTGTTGATTAGAATGCTTGCTATGATGTCTAGTATGCCTCTTTTGACAATTTAAAATATTTCCTTATAGTCTTAGTCTGTTAATGCCTTCCTTCCCTCCCTCCCTTCTGAAATGATGTTCTTGCTCTCTGTACATGTACAGTGGTCCTGGCGATCACTCTCAAGGCCTCTCCCACTGTGCTATGGACCGAGCTGATTTTTCACTTTTAATAGGATAGTATCATCAGTTATATCAAATCATCCTTGCTTTCCTGGGAACAATCCCAGCAAGGGATTGTTAGGCTATTATTTTTAATCTTGCTGAATTGCTTTCCATATGTTTGTGTGAAGGAACAATAAACCTACAACTTCCTGCCCATTCTCATCCTGGTTTTGTTTTATACCACAGTCGTGCTTGACCTGATTCTAGACTTACCTTCCTCCCTTCCTTTCCTTCTAGTTGCTGAATAGTTTCAGAGCTGGGAATAATCCTTCTTTGAACTTTTAATAGAATGTGTTGATACAGTCATGTCATTTATTATTACTCAATTTTAGTATAGAACTTTGGTTTTACCTTTAATTTCTATTTTACATAGAGTTTCAAATTTAATGATGTAAAGTCTGTACCTGACATTTTAGGGTTCTTAGAATCCTTTGTTTTATTAATGCCCTTTTCTGCTTCTTTGAATTTGTTATCTTTGTAATGCTGAAATCTGTTGTTTAAAGATTTTTTTCTCCTCTTTTTCACAACTGTTTCATCCTGCCTCCATTTTATTGAGTGTGAACTTCTTATGGAAACATGACACATATATAGAAAGGTGCATACATTACAAGCTCCGTAAATTCTTACAAAGTGAACCTGCCTGTGTAACCAGCACCCACATCAAGGGAAACCACTGAGGTAACCTTAGACCCCATGCCTCCTGAATGGATGGGCATCCTGGTTTCTAATTCACAGATTAGCTTTACCAACTTTGATGTTCATACAAAGGGAATCACATACTCTGTGGTGTCTGAAGCTGTTTTCACTATGGTTTCTTCCCACTGTGGCACTAGGCAATCAACCCCACTCCCCACCCCCACATACCCATGTACTTTGGGTGTAAGGCCTGAGCTGGTAGCAGCTCCTCTGAATCTTGTGGATTGCCTTTACTACAAGGACAGTGCCACACCTGTTCCCATGCTAAGGTTTTCGGTTTATCTTCTCATTCTTTTGTGGAAGCAAGGTGAGGTTGCCAAACAGTGGAGGTCCTAGTCAGTGGGATATTCCTGCTCCATGACTACTGTGCTGGAGCAGGGGCCCAGCCAGTGAAGAGGAAGTGGCAGTGACCCGGAGTATGGTGGCCCTAATCACTGAGGGGCTGGGAGTGCCTTTGCCTAGAAAACCCCCAGTACATCCATCCTCTTAGAAAAAGAATAGCAAATTTGGGGCCACTGAGATAGCTCAGCAGGTAAACTGCTTACAGTGTAGGCCTGACAACCTGAGTTCAATCCCCAGAACCATTATAAAGGTAGAAGAGAACAGACTCCACAGAGTTGTCTTCTGACCTTCACATGGAGGCATGCATCAGGCTCCCTCCACATTCATCACACACATACACACATGCACTTAAAAAAAGAACGGTAAGTTTTGAAACTTAGCCATCTTCTTGGTCCCCAGGTCAGGAGGCCTGGCAGTTGGTTTCTCTAACATCTCTGCATCATTTGGGCCCTGGATAGAGGTCCAGCTGATGCTTGAGGGACCCCATGGCCTTGGCAATGGCAAGAGAGCCGTTCACTTTTCCTTTGTAGTGTTAGTGTCTCTCTGCCCACGTGGGATCCTTTCTGCCTTCCCCTAATCCCTTTCTTTTCTTTTTTGTTTGGGGATTTTCTTTTTTATTTGATTCACACAGGCTCAATCACATTCATTAATGAGAGAAGCTGGGACAGGAACCTGGAGGCAGGAGCTGAAGCACAGGCCATGGAGGAGCACTGCTTACTGGCTTGCCCCTCTGGCCTGTGCTCAGCGTTTGTTTCTCCTTCCTTCCTTCCTTCCTTACTTCCTTCCTTCCTTCCTTCCTTCCTTCCTTCCTTCCTTCCTTCCTTCCTCCCTCCCTCCCTCCCTCCCTCCTTCCCTCCTTCCCTTTCTTAACAAAAACTTTATCAAGAATTTCATACATGTATATAAGGTGTTTTGATCAACTCCATGCCCACTCCCTCCCCTCCAACATTCCCCCCTCTGAAGAGGTAACCCTAAAATCTTTCAAGGATTAGATACAAGGACCCAAATACTTTTGACATTTTTGGCCCTTGGAACAGAGTGTGTTGCCAACAGGCCCAAGGACATTTTGACTTTTAACCAAGAACCTGGCTGCTTTTCTTTGGGGTCTTTGTACCGTAACTGCCCCCTTTCTTTGCCCCCTCTTTCCCCATTTAAAGCTGTTTGCCTCCGTTCCTCTGGCATCCCCTATTCCTCCCGCACCTCTTTCTCTCTGGCTCTTTGCATCCCACAGACAGTGACATCTCCCCGACTTCTCCCTTTGCTTCTGGCAGGAGACGGGCTGGTAAAGGTCAAGCAAGAGAAAACAGAGCGGCTGCTGCAGACGTTGGCGCCTCAGGACAAGGAAAATATATTTCAGCAGCATCAGGGCCTCCCGCCATGTCAGACCATGGGGCGGCCTCGTGGTCTGGGGGCACAGGAGGAACCTGGGGGTCCACGGTGGGCCCCATCAGCTGAGCAGGACACGCGGCTGGCCGCTCGAGTCCCAGCGACAGCTCCTGGCCCTCTGAGCCCTGCGCTTTCTGCTGGCGGAGGTCACTTCGTGTGCGTGGATTGCGGGAAGAGGTTCAGCTGGTGGTCGTCCCTGAAGATCCACCAGCGCACGCACACCGGGGAGAAGCCGTACCTCTGCAGCAAGTGCGGCAAGCGCTTCAGCCAGAAGCCCAACCTGGTGCGCCACCAGCGGCACCACACTGGCGAGCGGCCCTTCTGCTGCCCTGAGTGCACCAGGCGCTTCAGCCAGAAGCAGCACCTTCTCAAGCACCAGAAAACCCACTCTCGGCCCTCCACCCACGTGTGTCCCGAATGCGAGCGCTGCTTCCGCCACCAGGTGGGCCTCCGCATCCACCAGCGCGCCCACGCCCGGGACCGCCAGGTCGCCCGCTTCAGCTGGCTGGAGATGCTTCGGTATTCTGCCGTACGCCGGGCCTGTCGCCTGCGCACGGGGTCTCCTCGAGGGCGCCCCCAGTGCGCCTGGGTGGGTCTCTGCCAGGGCTGGTGGGGCGAACCCTGGGTCCGGACGGCAGCCCACGTTCGCTTGGGTGCGGGTGGGCAGCGCCAGTTCATCTGCAACCAGTGCGGCAAGAGCTTCACCTGGTGGTCCTCGCTCAACATCCACCAGCGCATCCACACCGGCGAGCGGCCCTACGCCTGCCCCGAGTGCGGCAAGCGCTTCAGCCAGAAGCCCAACCTCACGCGGCACCTACGCAACCACACGGGCGAGCGGCCGCACCCGTGTCCGCACTGCGGCCGGGGCTTCCGCCAGAAGCAGCACCTGCTCAAGCACCTGCGCACGCACCTGCCGGGCGCCCCGGCCATGCGCTGCACCAGCTGCGGCCAGAGCTGCCCCAGCCGAGCGGCACTGCGGGCTCACCAGCGCGTGCACGCTGCTGCCGAGCTGCTGAACTCCCGGGCTGCGCTCCGGGGCCGCGAGTCTGCTTCCCAGTCACAAGCTGAGGCCGCGCAGCCCCGCGGTCCCCAGGATGCCAGGGGCGAGCTGTGCGGCCCGGAGCGCGGGGGCCTGACTGAGGCCAGCGACCAGCGCCAGTTCATCTGCAACGAGTGCGGCAAAAGCTTCTCTTGGTGGTCGGCACTCACCATCCACCAGCGCATCCACACGGGCGAGCGGCCCTACGCATGCCCAGAGTGCGGCCGCTGCTTCAGCCAGAAGCCCAACCTCACGCGGCACCGACGCAACCACACTGGGGAGAAGCCCTACCAGTGCACCGCCTGTGGCCGCGGCTTCCGCCAGAAGCAGCACCTGCTCAAGCACCAGCGTGTGCACCGTGGAGCCCTGGCGCCCCACCCGGGCCCGGAGGAGGAGGAAGAGGAGTTGTAGCGCCCTGTGCTGCTGATGGTGGAGCGTGCTGGAGTGGGTGTGCCTGCAGGGTGCATGTGGGGACGCAGATGATGGCTGGGAATGCTGGCTCCGGCTCCTCGAGATTCTGAGGCTGAGAACAGTATTCCAGAAGCATCCCAGAGGGCACCTGGAAAAGTGCCTGTGGAGAATGTGAGATCAAAGCTGCGGCAACCTGAGTCTGAATGTGTCTGTGATGGGCTGGGCCCATTAGTACACCAGCCTCAGACACTTAGTGAGGGGCTGTTGGGGACCCTGGGAAAAGTTCCTTATGTGGAATGGCTTAGAACTGGCGAGTGGTAGTACTAGCCTGCTACACAGGCTGCAGGATGGCCTGAGAGAGAGAGAGAGAGAGAGAGAGAGAGAGAGAGAGAGAGAGAGACCGACCCATGAGAAGGTTGTGACAGACTCCTGGATACCGAGAATGGGCAGTGGCTAGGGAGGGACCAGCATTTCCGAGAACCAAGGACATTGCCAGCACCTCCTAGCCTTCTGTTGGGACCACTGGATGGTTGAGGACTCTTCATACACTGTGGAGGGTGCTAGGTATGGGGGACCTGGTATGTGTGTGATGGTTAGGGGCTGGGGTGCAGGCAGGTGGTCCCAGCCTTGGCTTGACTGCTTGGGGAGGTGGCTGTGCAAGAATGGGCTGTCTGTGGCAAGTGGGTGGGTGGATGTGACTGACCTGGATCCTTATCCACCCTGGTGTTGAGGAAGAGAAAAATGAAGGATTGAATATTCTTGTTGGCATTGTCCTTTCTGAGCCGTGCTGACTGGATCCCAGATGTGTGATCTCCCTGGAATTCTTCTGCCCATCCTCCACCCACGATCAGGGCAGGGAGCCTTTCATATACCACCCACCCCATGTCCTGCCAAGGCTGGAAGGCAGTTTTCTGTTTTCCACTCTCAAGTCAGTTTCATGGTTCATCTCATATACTGAACACCCCCTCCCCCATTCCTCTGAGGTCACCTCTCATGCTCTTCCAAAGCAGAGTGGCTGAGGTCTTGGTGCTGACAGAAGCCTGGGCTCCAGCCTCGGCTGTGGCATTGGATGGAGTCTTCCTAGAGGTTGGAGGTGGATGTTGAGGTATCAGAACTAGATAGCTGGGGAGGAAGGTGGGGCCCAGTATGGTTGATGGAGGAGGAAGAGCTGCTCTTCTGGTCTCCTGGGGCTTGTATCTTCCTGAGGATGCTTAGCCGTGCCTAGTTCAGCCTGGCTTCTCATGAGCACTCTGTAGATCGATAATGGTTTGAGGCTTTTCATTTGGGAGAAGCTTTAGTTGTAGTGTTACAGAAAGACAGGTAAGGTGATAGGAAGGACAAGCAAGACCCTTGAGACCATTGTAGATTTCCTGAGAAACACAGTTGCCAGTGGTGCTTAGCATTCGGCCTGGGCTGCTCCCTCCGGGTCCAGTTCTTTGGTCATAAACTGGGTGAAGTCCCACACTGGGGGAGTTGTGCTGATGAGCTCCAAAGACCAACTGCCGAATCTAAAGGCTTTTCCTGCCACCCCATCTGACCCACACCAAAAACCGCTCCCCTGCCTCCCTGTGATGCTGTGTTCTTTTCCAGTTCCTCTCCCAGCCTTCCCTGCCCAGCCCAGGAGGTGCCCCATGCCCTGCATCACATTAAAGTGTACTACTCTCATGGTGGAGTCCGACAAGCCATTCACTTCTTCCATTGTCATCTAGCAAATCCTGAAACTAACTTGAGCAAGCTTCTCTACTCTTGAAAGGCCTTCTAGGGCATCACCATTTGTTTCTGGGTCAGAGAGCCAAGTGGCTGAGGGGTGGGGCAGGCAGACACAGAGGAGATCAGACTGGCCCGCAGATGTGTTCTGTTCTCTTTCACCATGACCTGTGCTTAATGTCACAGTGCAGTCTGAGTAGGGCTTGGGAGTAACTGAGGCCTAATTGTAGCCTCCTGATACTGCAAGTTGGTGAGGATGCCTGTTCACTTTCCCTGGGTGGCTGACCCTCTCACAGGGTCACAAGACAGACAGAGCCAAGTCCCCCAGAGGGATGAATTACCAATATACATGCACATTGACCACATCTGTACTACAAAGCATTCACTCACCAATAGGTCTGTATGCCAAGCCTCATCTAGGTGAATAAAACATGGCCCCTGCCCTTGCTTAAGGACATTTGTGAAATCATTTTGATATACTGCATGATTTATAACAATCTATGGTCAACTTCTAGACAAATGGCTTTCAGCCCTGGCCTTATTAGCAAGACTTTCTAACCTCATCTCATTTAATCCTACGAGGTCAGAGATATAGGCTGGGCGGTGATACAGCCATTTGTCACAAATGAAAGAGGGGTGTGACTTTCCCACCAGGTTGTGTTCTAGATTGATGGCAGGTCCTAGGCCTCCCATGAACCAAAGCTGCATCGGCTGTCATAGCCCTAGGCTGATTCAAGGACAGCGTGGAACATCAACTTTACTGCTCATTCCCTTTCATTTTAAAGTGGGTCAGAGAATACTGAGGAAGAGATGGCATGCAATCAAAGACAAGTTCAGACTTGTTACCCTAGTGGTTTATGGTGCAAGAAATGGCAGCGTTGCAGAGATTAAGGGGAACCAAACCACGAGAGAGAAAGACTAAAGATTTCTAAACAGCCGAGTCTAAAGGCTTTTCTGTGGCCAAGCTTGTAAAAGGCCATCTCAGCTGGGTAGGACTGGATTTCTGGAACTGTCCTTGTCTTTTGTTAAGAGCAGGCTGAGAGCTAAGTCAGATGACCTTGGTATGTGGAGAATGGTTGTCCTTTGAGCCTGAAGTCAGGCTCCTTGGGAGAGTTTGGTGCCCACTCCCCAGCCTCATGGGTTGATTTGCCATGTGGAATTGCGCTGAGGGAGAAGGGGCTGCAGAGGCCAGAGGAGCAGCTGCCAGGTAGGTGCAGACCCATGTCAGGGGGCCTTGGTGGAGGGCAGAGTAGAGAGCAGTTCTGAAACATTTTTAAACGTGGTTTGAATTTCATAAATATCTTTGTCCTTTTGGCTGGAGGAGTATTGGGGCCAAAAACAGCACATTGCCATATATCACTATTCGACCTAGATGAAGCAGGAGCAGTGCAGAGAGGAAAATGAGTGACATCCCTTAGGTTTCCCCTTTGGGGAGAGACAGCTGGAATCTCTTGGGTTTCCAGGTTTGGAGTGCGTTGCTAAAACTTTCCCTGGGGAAGATGTAAGCAACATACACCCCTCTGCCCTTGGTCCCAACAACAATCCGAGGTACTGTTTCACCGACGTTCACCATGGGGAACCAGTGAGTTTATGGGGCTTTACTTACAGATCAGTGGGTGAGAAGGTACTTACAGGAGTGTCAGTGCTCCTTCATAAGGCTGTATGGGAAGGTCTTGCCCAGCCTACATGATGGCTTCCCCATAGCTGCATAAATGGAGGCTCCATTCCCCTAGGTTTTTCCAGTCCATATACTCTTGCCTTCCCAGACACCACATGCAATTACAGCAGAATTGTCCACAATAGGTTGGGAATAGTGGCCAGATGCTCAGATAAGGGTCCCATGACCCTCCCTGCCCCTGCTTCTGTGAGGGGAGGTCAAGAAGTCAAGCTATGATGTCAAGTTGGCACAGCTGAACTGAAGATGGGAGGGCAGTCCTGTATATCAGAGGGGAAGTGTCCTAGGGCAGTTCTATCCAAAAGCACTTTTTAAAAAAATTATGAAATGTGTTGTCCAATATCTAGTCACTAGCCACATGTGTCTATTAAACATTTAAAACCGGGGGCTGGTTATGTAGCTCAATTGGTAGAGTGCTTGCCTAGCATGCGTGAAGCTCTGGATTCTGTCCCCAGCACTACATAAAACTGGGCACACTCTGTGCACATCTCTTAATCTTGACACTTAGGAGGTATCAGAGGTAGGAGAATGGGGAATTCAAGGTCATCTTTGCCTATATACCCTGGTTACCTGAGACCCTGTCTCAAGAAATCAAACCAAACAAAACAGAATAACAACACATCAAGTACTGAATTTTAGCAGTAATTTCTATTAAATGGCTTCACAGGGCACAGATATATCCTAGGTATGATACTTCCATTGGCAGAAGAGCTACCAGCCTTACCTTCTCTCTCCCCTTCCTCCACTCATTTTTACCCATGGCTCATATCGAGAAAGAAGTTTGTTTTTGTTGGGAGTAGAAGATAGAGTCACAGCTCTCAGGTTGAAGCTATCTTGGCACGTGACCTACACAAGGCCTGTAGTGTAGTGCCAAGCACGCAGCAAGCATTAACAGGTGGTTGCTATTATTTTAATAAACTCCATGTGTGGCTACGTGCAGAGCACATGTACCTATGGAAAGAGGAAAAGAATTGGGCTTGGTCTTTATGAGGAATTGTGTTAGTCTTTTTGCCACTGTGAAAATACCTGAGAAAAACAACTTAAAGGAAGTCTTAAGGACTTATTTGGGCTCAGGGTTTCAGTCCCTGATTAGCTGACTCCATAGTTTTGAGCTTGAGGGGAGGCAGAATACCATGGTGTCTGATGAAGGGGCTGCTCACTTCAGAGCAGTCAGGAGGCAGAAAGAGGAAGGGCCAGGCATATCATGCCTGAGCATGCTCCCCAGGGACTTACTTCTTCCAGCCATGCCCCACCTTGTACCTTCCATCATCCCTTATACTGCATCATATGAATCCATCAATAGATTAGTTCTTGAGCCTTTGAGGAAGTGGGGAGGAAATTGTATCCAAACTGTAATAGGAATGAGCCATTCTCATGTTTAGTAGGTCTGCCATGAGTTTAAGGGTTTGGCAGAATTGATGTCATAGGTCATGTGCTGGGTTTCAGTGAAAAGGAAAAAAACTTTGGAGCAGATTATATCTTATAGCCAGAGCCCCACATCTATATTCAGGTCTCTGCAGCCCCTCTTGGCCCTCAAAGTTGTAGCTAGACTTGTAGTTTAGCTTACAACTTATTTCTCATCTTTCCTCCATGGCTGCCCATCCAGTCATCTTATGTAACGTGTGACTTCATTCACTGAACAGACATTGACTAGGGACCAATTACGTGCTGCATACTTGAGCTAGAAGAATGCTAAAATCATGGTCCCTGCCTGTATTCGTTAGTTTTCTGCTGCTGTGATAAAACACTATGCCCAAATGCAACTTATGGAAAAGTTTATTTTGGCTATTTCTGTCTTTGTTTGCTTTCTGATGCTGCAATAAAACACTGACCAAAACCAACTTGAGGTGAAAAAGGTTTATTTCATTTTACTCTTCCAAGTGGCAGTGCATCGCTGAGGGAAGTCAGGGCAGGAATTCAAGGCAGGACCTGGAAGTAGGAACTGAAGTAGAGATCATGCCACTTATTGGCTTGCTTCCTCTGGCTTGCTCAGCTACCATTATTATACAGTTCAGGCTCACCTGCCCAGGGGGGACACCACCCAAAGTAGGATGGGCCCTCCTATTTCAATCAGCCATTAAGAAAATGCCACAGGCCAATCTGGTGGAGGAAATTCCTCAGTTGAGGTTCCTGCTTCCCAGGTTGTCAAGTTGACAACTGAAGCTAACCAGCATAGGCTTATGGTCCCAAAAGGAGAGTCCATAATGGTGGAGGAGGCATGGAAGCAGGTGGCCAGAACAGGAAGCTGAGACCTCACATCTTCAACCACAAACACAAAGCAGAGAGAGCAATGAGCTCTCAAAGCCCAGCCCTCAGTGACATGCTTCCTCCAGCAAGGCTACACCTTGTAAAGGTTCCATGACCTCCCTGAACAGTACCACCAGCTAGGAACCAAGCATTCAAACACTTGAACCTGTTGGGGGACATTTCTCAAACCACCACATGGCCCTGGGATGTTCACAATCTGATGGGGATAATGCAAGTGTGCTCAGTTCCAAATTTGAAATCATCATGGGTATTTTGATGAGAGGTATTAGTGCCCACCGCTTGATGCCTGGGAATGGGAAGAGCTTATTGGAAGGAGATGGGAGGTGGAAACCTTGGAGACGTATCCCTGTGCAGGAGGAGCTCAAGGATGGAGCCCAAGGATGGCCAATGCAGTGACCTGTAAGGGCCTCAGGGATGTCCGAGAGCCCTGTCTGTCTAGAATGCCACAGGGTGAATGCAGCCCAGTGACTGATCAGGGCCTGCTGAATTAGCTTCTGCACCCATACAGGAGTCTCTGGCCTTTGTTGGGGCCCAGAGTCCAGCTGCCTCAGGACCCTCACAGGATGCTGGTGACCACATGTGGGCCACTGTCCTGCCTGAAGAAGCATGCTTGTGTCTGCAGAATATTGCCGCCATTGCCTTGTTATTCCATTTGCCACAGCACAGGAGGATGGGGTCCAGCAGGAATGAGGTGGGGAAGGTGCATGTGTGTGAAATGGGAGGAGCTGAAATTTAACCTTTATCCCACTGGCATTCCCCACAGAGATCTAGGGTTTTGGATAGCCCTGTGTGAGTCCCATCCCGAGCCCCTAGCTATGTTACTTTAGCACAGTTTACCTCAAAATACTGTTAAAAATGTGGGTACTGGGTTGGAGAGATGACTCAGCTACTAAGAGCACTGGATGCTCTTGCAGAGGACCCAGGTTGGGTTACCAGCACCCACATGGTTGCCAACAAACTTCAGTTCCAGGGTCTCTGACACCCTCTTCTGGCCTCCTCAGGCATTGCATGCATGTGGTATACTTCCATACATGGAGGCAAAACACTCATATAAAATAAAAATAAAAAAGTCTTTTAAAAAGAGTGGGCACTGTCTTCCAAAATTTGTGTTTGCTTTAGAAAACTTTGTTCTTTGCTGTGTCCTCACTTCCCTCGTGGCCTGCTGAAGAGATGAAAACCAGGAGCTGGTGTGGGAGGAGGTGTGGCAGTCCTCTGAACAGAGGTGTGGGTGGCTGTCAGTGGTCAGGAGGCCCTGTGGTGCAGGGATAGGAACTCCACACTTGTCCCTGGTACAGGTTAAATCTCCACCTTGGTGGACCCAATTCTTTGGCTTCCTATGTCCCTTCCCTGTTGCCTCTAAGATGCCACTACCTCTGGGATGTCTAACTCAGGGGCCCACAGACTTTGTGAGGTTGTGTGGGGCTGGAGGGAGGGCCTCACTGAGAAGCTGGACTCACTGAGACGCATTGGTTCTAAGTAAACCGAAAGCAGGTGGGCATGGCTTCCAGGCCTAGTGCCCCAGCATAGAATTCTTCAGGTACACTGGAAACCTGGGAGCCACAGGGTGGGGGCCTTCATGGCACCCAGGGGACCAAGTTTCCTGAAGCCCATCATGTACAGCTCCCCTACCTAACAGTCATGCCTCAGCATCTGACAGATTAAAGCCTCACCTGGGTCTTAGGAAGTCCCCCACTACTTTCTTTGAGTGGTGGTTACTGAGGGCCTCAGAGAGAAGACCTACTGAATGTTTCTCTAGTGATTATAACCTTGAAATCATGTTAGTCCCAGGCCTGCTTCCTCATCAATCCAGTGTGAATTCTGAGGCCCTTTCTCCTGTGATCTCTGCCACTTAAAGCTGTGGGGGAAGTCACTCCATGTTTTATTAAAAGAAAAAAAAAAAAACAAAAACCAAACAAACAAACCCCAAAACAAAAAACAACTTCCCCACCTATAAAGTGGAATAATAACACTTGTCTAAGTTCCCACGGGCTAATACATGGGGAAGGGTGGTGCAAAAACCCAGGCTATGGACAGGCAAGCGGTATTATTAAAGGGCAGTGGGAAACTGCTTTCCCGGGACTACAAACAGCTCTTTTATGGGACATCTTTGACTTGATCACAGTAGACTCAGTTCTGTCCAGGAGGGGAGTTCGGAGGGCGTCATTTCTTCTTATCCCCATAGTCACCCTAGTCACCATAGCAGGGTAGACTGTGTTAAAACTGGCAGCTTTGAAATCCAGGTTCCAAAATGCTCCAGCGCTGGAGCCCCTGCATTTCCTGGTTTCTCTCTCCTCTAGGTTAAGGCGCGCTGCTCCCAGAGCCCCAACCCGATCTCCCAGGCCCTGGGGCAGCACCTGGGCCCGGCCAGGCTACTCCTGCCTTGAGATGAGGGAGGTGACTATGGCGCTTCTCAGCAGGAAAGGGGAATGGCTGGGGCGGGGGCCCGGGAGACTTGGGGTGACCCGTCCTGCGGGCAATGCTGGCCCCAGAATCTGGTCCCCTCTCTGGCCTCGGCAGGCGCAGCGCTCGCAGCCTTCCTTTTTCCGCCAGCCAGGTTTTTGGCGAGTTAGACCTCCCAGCCTCACGGGGCTGCTGTGCGGCTGCGGCGACGTTGGCGACTGCGGCGCTGCAGCAGAGGCGAGGGCTCCAGAGGCGGTGCCATGTGAGTCCCCAGCCCGGGCCGGGACTTCAGGGAGGCTACCGTATTTATCCAGGCCAGTGCGGGACCCCGGGGGGCGGGTCACTGCAGGCGTGCTACCGTATTTGCCCGGAGCCATGCAGGCCTTTCTGGGAGTGGCAGTGCTGCGACTTAATTATCTATTTATACATGGTCGTGTGGTTCCGTGGGGGGCGCTGCGGGCGCGGGGGCGGGGGTTGCATGCATTCTCCCAGGGAGCCGGGGCTGGCAGCCAGGCAGGGTGGGCTGCGGCAGCTGGGTGGAGGCCTACGTATTATGGTGGGGGTGGGGTTGCGACGCACAGCTTACCATATTTCTCCAGGGTCCTTCCGGCCCCAAGAGTTGGCAAGGCTGTAAGAGGGGGTCGGACGGGGGTGAGCTCTTGCTATTAATGCAGCTGTTTGTCCAGACCAACGTTTCGGGAGGCTTGCCGGCTTTATGGGGGCGGGGAAGAAGGGGCGCGGGAGTCGCTGCAGGAGAGTTACCGTATTTTCGTTGGGCAGCTCAGATTCTAGAGGAAAGAGCCACCGCTGGAAACCGCAGAAGGGGAGCAGGCTGGGCTGTGAGTGTGGCACGGGATGGAAGAACCTGAGCGTGGGATGGGGGCCATGGCCTTGGGCCCTCTGGGTCCCGGTCAGGTCAGGGATCTAGTGGGGAAAGTAGGGCGGCTGTTCAGTGACAGGGCCAGGCTGACTTGCTAAGGAGACTTTAACAGTCTGTCTTTGCAAACGTCAGCACAACTCTCTGGGGGAGAGATTGTGGGTGGGGTCTATGGCCAGTGGTATGCATTCCCTTCTCCAGGGTGGGTTCCTGTTCCACCTTGGCCTGAAGACAGGGGAAGACTGAGAGGGTGTCCCTGAGACCCCACTCTGCAGGTAGATTGACTGAGGCTGGAGGTGTGGAGAGGCCTGCAGGGGATCTGAGAGAAACCCTGTATAAGCTTTCCTGATGGAGGGGGTGAGTGGAGGGGTCCCCAGTGCCCTACAGAGCTTGGGAGTAGTGGCCATACACAGTGCCCCTCCAGGAGCAGGTGTCGGATAGGAACAGTGAGCCTTTGCGAATGGACAGGTCTGCAGTGGCTCTCTCTCTCTCTCTCTCTCTCTCTCTCTCTCTCGTGTGTGTGTGTGTGTGTGTGTGTGTGTGTGTGTGTGTGTGTGTAAGGCATTTTTAGTTGCTAAGCAGCTGATATACTGAAGCTTTTCTATTTCAACAGTGAGTCAGGAGACTTAGGGCCTAGTAGTCCTGGCTCACCTTGCTGTGTGACCTTGGACAAGTATGTTGAATTCACCCAGTCTCAGTTACATCATTTACAACATGGGGCTCAGCAACACTGTTCTGTCCCTTCCTCGAGGCTGTTGTGAGGACAGTGGGAAACTATTTCAGAGGAACACAGTGGCCTGGGAAGAGTCTTCTGGGGGAAGTAGGCATGCCGGGAGCCCAGTACTGGGGATGTCTGTGGAGCACTGAGCATGTTGCTCAGTCATTGGGCCAGGCCTGGCCCCCTAGGGCCTTGTTTTGGTTCAGTGACCCTCCACCTTTTAAGTATATGGTTCATCTTGTTAAACAAGGAGGCGCCACCTTTAATGTTTAACCCAGGGAAGTCACTTTCAGGTTCATAGGGTTTTTGTTTTGTTTCCTGCTTTCAGTCACCAGGATCTCACCTTCCTTGCAGGTTTGGGGTGTGCCCCTTATTGCTTCCTTGGGAATCTCTGGAGAGGCACAGGATAACTTTCCCATCAGCATTTATCCCATGCCTTGTATGTGTCAGGCACACAGGGTTTGGGGATCTTTTAATAGAAAGTAGCCCTGTTGTTGAGGTGCTGGAGTGGGGATAAGAGGTAGCCAGACCACCCCATTCCAGGGTGATGATGAGGGTCTAGGCAGCAGGGGGATGCTGGAGAAGTCAGGGAAGGCTTGTAGGAGGAGGCAGCTCTTGAGAAAAGCCCAGAAGGACAGGCTGTGATGAAAGGAAACTACAACACTGTAAATGGGCAAACGCTGGAGGCTGTGGGGAGAGAGTGATTCCTCAGGCTGGGGTATGGCTGACCCTGCGGTTTTCCTTGACCCTTCTCTCCATTTCTGCTTCTCCAGGGGCTGGTGATTGCATCTGCAAGTGCCCATGACCGAGCTGGTGTCCTCCAGGGGAGGGTCCCCTGAGGGAGACGGGGAGGAGTGTCTGGGGGACGAGCAAGGCCTGGTCATCCACCACCCCGCGGAGGAACAGTGCCACCGCTGCCCACTGTGCGGTCAGACCTTCTCCCAGCAGCCCAGCCTAGTGCGGCACCAGAAGGCTCACGCCGGGGCGGGCCGCGTGGCGGCCTTCGTGTGTCCGGAGTGTGGCAAGGCCTTCAGCGTCAAACACAACCTCGAGGTGCACCAGCGCACGCACACCGGCGAGCGGCCCTTCCCCTGTCCCGAGTGCGGGCGGTGCTTCAGCCTCAAGCAGAACCTGCTCACGCACCAGCGCATCCACAGCGGCGAGAAGCCGCACCAGTGCGCACAGTGTGGCCGCTGCTTCCGCGAGCCTCGCTTCCTGCTCAACCACCAGCGCACCCACGCGCGCATGCCCGCGCCGCACCCCCGCCGCCCCGGCGTCTTCGGGGAGCGGCGACCCTACTTCTGCTCCCGCTGTGGCAAGAGCTTTGCGCGGGAGGGCTCGCTCAAGACCCACCAGAGCAGCCATGGCCATGGGCCCGAGGGCCCGGCGGCCCATTTAGGCCGCGTGCTATAATGCACACGTGGCTTTCCACCTTCGACTGCCTCCAGTTCCAGAGCCTCATCCCAGGGCGCTGGAGCTGGCGCTGGGCTGTGTTCTCCTCTCTGGATGGGCTTTCAGGGTCTTGCGGTGTTGAAGGGGCTTGGGCCTCCCTCTTTCCTGCCTCCCTCTGGACCCTGTGGCTGGCTGCATGCAGCTTCTTGGTTTGCCTCCTCAGGCTGCTGCGGCCTAGAGCAGGTGAGATCCACAGCATTGGCCAGAGTCCCCCACTGGCTTGGGGGTGGTAGAGTGGGCATGCATTGTTTGTTCCCCAGGTTAGAAGTGGACGACAGGGCCTGTTTTGGTCTCTGTGACTAACTGCTTATATCTCCATTGCCCGCATGTCACACTCGAAGGCAACTTGGAGAGGGCCACTTTCCACAGTCCCCAGGCCAGAGCTCAGCTCCCAAGGCCTCAACCTTCTGCACCCACTGTCTGTTGTCCTTGAGAAGCCATTTCACTTCATGGCTCAGTTTGCTCATCTGTAAGTTTAGGGGTGAAGTTGAGGGGTTCCTCCTCCCCCACTGGGGTGTTGCAAGATTTTGCTGTTGTGAGAGAATGAGGGTCATTTGTCCAGAGAAATTTTGCTCGTTAGCCTCGTGAGCTGGGCAGTGCTCTGCTACACTCTTGGGAGGACCCCAGGTCTAAGCAAAAGAGAGGCTCCAGCGAAGATGACAGAGCAAGGTCACCCAGTGAGAATGAGAACTGGGGCTTGGTCCTGTGATCCCTGATTGCAGGTTGTCACTCAGGCACTGGCCTCTGCTATGTGACACACAAGGAAACCAAAGTTTGTCCAAGCTTGTTCCAAATCGCAGTTAATAATTGATGCTACGAAGGGGGTTGGATTAGATCTGGGCTTTGTTTTGGATTCTGGATCTCAAGTCCCTTCGGCTTCATTGCGGAATAATGGGAAATGGAGCAGAAGAACATGGGAATGTTGCCAGGGGCAACAGGTGCTAGGCCAGCATGGGCTCCACATCATCCTAGATGCTGGGGGTCCTGAGCCAGCCTCTGCTCCCTGAGCCCTTGCCTCCTGCTAGGCCTGTGCTATGTATGTGCTGGAGACCTGTCCCTTGTGCTCTCTCTGTCCTCCCTTAGTGCCATGTGACTCTTTTGGAATCACACTGGCCTCTGTTCAAGGCCAATGGTGGCTATTGCAATATGGGTTAGTACTTGGTGGCAGAAAATAATATTAAGATCCTGGGACATCTGGAGTTAGTCACTCAAATACCCAGAACCCAAGGTATCTTTATGTGTAACTGGGATAATAATCTTGGCAGTCCTTGGCAGGTGACTAAGAGGGTATGCTCAAGTCTCGGGCAGATTCAGAGTGGGTCAGTTGAATGTGCCCACCTATTCCAGAGGGGAGGGTGGGCAGGACCATATCACTACTGTGTACTTGATCCTGGTCTCTTTGTTTCTTCGAACAGATGTGGACAGGACCTCATGACCTAGGATGCGCAGGGCACATCTGGGCATGGAGACTAGGGATGGAATCACATGAGGCCTGGCACCCAGGCATGAGGACATGACTCCTCAGAAGACCTACCTCTGGAGGTGCCCTATACTGGTAGAACCTGGGACTAGAGGGTATTTCCAAGCCCTGGTGGAAAAACTCCCCAGGTCTGGTTTGAGTCACATCTGGGCAAACCTCCTTCTGACTGCCTGACCGTGGACCTCAACTCATGTGTGGGAACTGAAATGGCACCCGTGTGGAGAGCTGGTTTCTCTGCTCCAGTGTGGCCCACCACTTGACTGAAGGTCAGAGAGAAGCAGTGACTGGTCTGTGCTGACAAAGCAAGTTGGTGGCAGACCTGGCTTGGGAGACAAAACTTCCCCCCTAGGCTTCCATACCCTTTCTGAGCTAGAAAGGTTAACAATTCAGGGTCATGTGACCCTTTATAATCTGATGGGGCTGTGGAACTTCTCCCAGGTCAGTCTCAAAAGCCCAAGCAATTTCAGGAGCCTCTGGACACCAGACTGAGGACCTTAGCCCTGGAGGCTTCACCTGCCCCCCTTCCCTTACTCCATCAAGAGCACTACCAAGTCATGTTTCTCTCCTCCTGGTCTTCCCTCGTTTGCAGATAAAGAATTCTGAGGCAGAGACCCTTTTGGTTCACCCCTTTTCCCCAATCTAACCATCACCACGTTTCTATAACCCAGTTTCCCTTCCCCTGACATGGCCTAAGATGCCCAGTCTCGGTTGCTTCTCTCCTTTCTGTTTCTGACAGGCTGTAGGTTTCCACAGTGGAACCCTCTGCTTGACTTTGCTTGTGATATCACTGTGAAGTCTCAGGGGAGGCTGGACCGCCAAAGGGCTGGTAAATCATTGTGTTTTCTCTGTGTGTATCCCAGGTAGAAGGAATACTGTTTCTGTCCTGCCTGGCCAGGTGTGCAGCTCCAGGCAGGTATCCCCTGGGAAGATTGGGGTGGATGAGCACCAGAGCTTGGCAGTTGGTGCCTGTGATTCTGGATAGTGGGAGAAGCCAGTGGATGAGTTGTTTGTCCCCCAGATGAGCAGGAATAAAGTAGAAGGGAGTGGATTCTGGGCTACTACTGGTCAAGGACTCCTGTCTTCACATTGGAGCAGGTCAGCTGCGAGTCTGTGAGTACTTCCTCACTTCCCCAGTACAAACCACTCAGAACCAGGACACTGTGCAGGGCTGGGTAGAAACCTGCAGACTCCTGACCTGGGATTTTACTGTTCTGTCTCCCATGAAGTTTGGCTCACAGGTTCTTACTGAACCCCAGTGCCTCATTCTGGGGTTGCTGTGTGCTCAGAGATCTGAGAAAAGGGGAGGCATTCCATCGGCACCCCAGGGCCTTCCGTGCAGCTCTTATCCTTGGCCAGTCTAGAGGAGCCCTCGCTGTGTCCCTCAGCAAATTGTCCAGCTTGTCTCTTCCCTGCCATAACTGTGCTATGCCTTCCCCTGTGATACTCTGAAATCTTCCCCTTCCTTTCTTCCTCTCTGCGAAGTCTCCCTATCCACCAGGGCTAAGCCTCCCAGCCCACCCAGCTTGCATACCTTCCTCTGAACAGTACCCATGTTAACACACTGTGTCTTCCTCAAGTACATGCTGTCTAATCTTATGCTTGTTTCTTCTGTGTACGTGCTGTGTGCACGCATGTTCGCTTTGAGTCCCCAACTAGACTGTGAGCTCCCTGAGGGCAAGAGGCTGTCATTTCTTTTTCAATGCCGAGTGGGTCCAGCACAGGGCTGGGCTCCTAACTCTCAGGAAACACTTGTCAACTGGCTGATGAAATAAATGCTGGAGGTTGTGGGGGCCTGGGAGGTGTGCAAGGGGTGAGGGTGTGAGGGTTAGTTGGTTGAGCTCTGGGTTGACTCATTGAATCAATAAAAGATGCTGGGGGCCTTAGGTCCATGCATACTGGGGGCAGTGGGAGGAAGAGGGAGTTCCCCTACGGCTTTGCAGGAGTGCCCATGAGTGATTGTCTAGGCTGGACATAGCTGGAGGTCCCTGACACCTGCTGGAACTGATTGAGTAAAATAAATGTTCCTCCAACAATAGCAGATATGAGGGGTGATCTTTGGGGTACTTAGCCAGGAGTGATCTTTGGGGTACTTAGCCAGGAGGAGCACGGTCACCTCTATCCTCATCATTTCTGGAGGAGTTGTGTTCAAGGTTCCATGGACTTATCTTCAAGGTGGCATGGTGGTCAAAGACTGTAGGGCCTCCCCACATCCAGCTAGTGGTTCATTCATCTGTTTGGATTTGGGTAACATATCTCCAGCCCCCTCCAATGAGATGCAGCTCCAGTGGCTTCCTAAGCTCTCAGAAGGTCAGATCTGCTCAGAAACTTTGGGGTATTCCCACTGGCACCTGAGGATGAGCCACCAAGAATACTTGAGTCAGGAGATAAGACTCTAGTGTGGGTCATCTACAACAGGAATGCTTGGGCCAGTCTCATCTCTTCTGATTTTAGTCCTTGGATGTGTGACATGAAGAAAATAGTGCCTGCTCCCTCACCTCACAGAGTTGCAGCAAGAACAAACAAGTCTACAGATGATGATGCAAGTGCAGGGCACACCTCCATTGGCACCCCTGGTCCCTGAGGTGGAGCCTGTCTTTTCTAGAATAAAGCATTGGACAGCATCTTAGTGTAATGCCCATCTGCTACCAGGTGGCCTTGTTAGTGGGGAGGATCTGGGCCTAATCACGGCCTGAGGCACCCTCTAGTACTTGATTCTGTCATCAGACAATGAGGGTCAGGAGTGGTAAAGCACACTAGGCCAGTGCCGGGGATGCCTGAGTCTGGATTGTAGGGTGGGAAGTAGGGCAGGCCTGGCCCTTGTGTTCCACACATATTGCCTTAAACCACGAAGGGCCAGAAGGGCCATCGTGGGCTCCTATAATTGAGAGGGACCTGGGGATGACAACAGGACCCAGCCCCCTCCTATTCTGCCTCTGCAGCTTCCATGGTAGGAGCAGCTGTGGCCCAGTCTCTGCCTGCCCAGTTCAGTTCCTTTCCATGATGCTTAAGACAGGCCTTGCTCTTGGCGTCAGCTAAAGCCTGGGGAGTGCATTATCAATGACCAGGTCACAACCCTTCACTGAATGGCTGATCTCTACCTGGCACCTGTGCTGTGAAAATGGGGAAGGAAATCCAGAGCTGTGGGGAGAGTGCGGCTATTCCATGCACGTGCACATGACCATACTTCCTGAACCAGAGCATCACTGTCTCCTGGGAGCTTGTTACATGAGGTTATAGGTCTAGCCTCAGACTCCAAACCCTCCAATGAGGCAGGCAGAAACTTCATTTTGAAAAGATACCATCCACACACGCAGCCTCACTGGGGAGCTTTGTAGCTGGCTGAGTCTACTCTCCGAATAGGATCTTCTGGCTCAGGCACTGCCTGGAGGGAGGAGGGAGAGATGTTTTTTTTTTCCCCTTTTGATCAGGCTTGCAGGATGCAGAGGTAAGAGGGGCTCACTGTTTTCACAGAGGTCTAGAAGCTAGCATGCCCATCACTGCCCTGGTCCCCTGGACTGGCCACAGCAGCAGGGCCCATCCTTACCAGGCTTGCTCTGCCTGGTGTTATGGTACTAGGCAGGGGTATAGAGCTCAGTGGAGAGGGAAAGGCTAAGCAAATGTCCAGTCATAGACCAGAAAGCAGATTTCCCTCAGGGAGCAGGCTCTCACCCTTTGTCTGTGCATCCTGCCTCACTCCTGTCTTTAGATGCCCCAGAACCTCACTATCCTCACCCCAATATCACCCGAATGAGAGGACGTCTGTGTGGGTGGTACTGGTGTCCCCCATCCCTTTGGTAGCTATAGTGATGTTGATTGTCAGCTTCATAGATTCTTGAATCACACAGGAGACACTCCTCTGGAACATGCTTGTGAGGGCTTATCTAGATTAGGTTAATTGAGATGAGATGGGATGATCACTTTAATTATAGGTGGCACCATTCCATGGGCTGGGGTTCTGGGCTGAATAAAAAGGTGGGAAAGTAGGCTGAATGCCAGCATCAGTGTCTTTCTGCTTCCTGACTACTATGTAGTGTGATGGGCTGGCTCCTGCTCCTGCCTCCGTGTCTTCCCCCCAGTGTCATGTCTTCCCTGCCACGAAGGAATGACTCCCTTGAACTTTAAGCCAGAATAAACTGCTCCTTTCTTAAACTGCTTCTTGTCAGGTATTTGCCCACAGCAATGAGAAAAGTAATTAATACTGGCACCACAGCTCATAGCTGCCCACCCTGGGGTCGCCCCCAGCCCAGTCCCAGGAATAAGTAGCAGCTAACCAGGGAAGGGGACAAGCTCTGTGTTAAGGCTTCTGCTCAGAGCTTTCAGGGGAGCTGGGCAGAAGCTGGACTCCTGCTGAGATACACTGGGGTGTCTTGGTCTCTGCTGTGCTGCCTGAAGCCGCTCTCATTCTATAGAACTCTCCCTATTCTCACCCTGCCAAAGTTGAGAGTCCTCCTTTCAGGCTCTGCTTCTAGGAGGCCCCACTGTGTGCAGAAAGGTCTTTGAAGTGTGAGATGGGAGCATCTTGCCCATAGAAGATGGGCAGTTCTGTGATGCTGGTCACCTGTGGGCCTTCAGCGAAGAACTGCCACTAGGCTCATGGATAGTAAGTGATGGTTTCCTTTGTGGCCAACCAGGCCATATGATCCAAATGTTGGTATGGTAACCCCTCAGCAGAGGCACTGAAAGCCCCTTTCAATTGGAAAGGACTGGGAGTCTATGTTATAGGTAAAGGCTGGGGTTTCATCTTGCTGTATGGTTTTGGCCAAGGCCTTTGCCATCTTGAGCCTCAGTTTCTGATCTCTGATTAGAGCTGGGCAGAGTATCTGACCTTGGAGGTTTCTTGTGGGTGTGTGCCCTAGACTGCAGTCTCAAGGATGTTTTGGGTGTGGACAGAGACCCACTTGAGTTGGTGATGGGTTGTGTCTAATGCCCTTGGGGATGTGAGGAGTCCCTTTTGTATGGCTGTGCAGGCAGCAGGGGCCCCAAGATGACTTTCCCTTCTGGTCTCAGCAACGCCCCAGAGGCTCAGCTGCAGCTTCTCCTTACAGCAGCCACCATCTCTGCTCTGTGGCAGATGCTTGGTGAACCAAAGCAAACTATTTTTCCCCTTAAGCAGGAAATCTGCAGTTTCCAGCAGCACACGAGAAATTCACCTTGGAGCAGATTTTCTTTGCTTCTTTAAGTCCCTGGCTGTTAAACGACAGCAAAAGCAAATACCTACTGCTGTTTTCAAACTCGTCAGGGTCTCAGCATCATGTGACAGTTGCTTTGGACTGTGTTATCATGATTCCTCTTCATTTATTTTTATATTTTATTTATTATTTTTATTTTATGTGTATGCGTGTATTGCCTGCATGTAGGGTAAGTGCACCTGTGTTGTGCAATGCCAGTGGAGGACAGGAGAGGCCGCCAGATCCCCTGGAACTGGAGTTACGGACAGTTGTTAGCTGCCATGTGGGTGCTGGGATTTGAGCCAGGGTCTTCTGCCAGAACAACCAGTGTTCTTAACTACTGAGCCATCTCTCCAGTGCCACAATTCCACTTTATAATAACCACTCTAAGGAGCTATGACAGACCCGACCTTGGTGTTTCTAGGAGGACTGTGGAAGTGTTCGGAACTTTGGGCTGGAAAAGCCATTGAGTGCTTAGAGTTTGTTGTTGCGGAGGCCATCTCTCCAGTGCCACAATTCCACTTTATAATAACCACTCTAAGGAGCTGGAGAGATGGCTTAGTGGTTAAGAGCACTAACTGCTCTTGCAGAGAACCCAGGTTCGATTCCTAGCACCCACATGGCGGCTAACAAACTGTCCATAACTCCAGTTCCAGAGAATCTGACACCGTCTTTCTTCTGACCTCCACGGGCATTGCACAACATGGGTGCACTTACACATACAGGCAATACACTCATACGCAAGCCACAGCAATAGAGAAACAATCCAGAACAGAAGTTGATGCTGAGAGTGGGGTATTGCTATGACAGACCCGACCTTGGTGTTTCTAGGAGGACTGTGGAAGTGTTCAGAACTTTGGGCTGGAAAAGCCATTGAGTGCTTAGAGTTTGTTGTTGTGGAACTTAGAACAGTTATGCTGAAAGAGGCCTGGCTTGTGAAGCTTCAAAGGTTAAAGCAGAGACTATCAGGGCTGTTTGTGTGATATTTTGAATTGAGACTCTATGGGTTCTGACTGACTGGGGCTGAAGAATCAGCTGTGCTTAAGAAAAGACCAGAACCTGAAGTAAAACCTTTGCTATACTGGGACAATTGATGCTGGTTAGCTGGGACTGAAAAATCACTTGTAAATAACAAGAGACCAGTATCATCATGGTGATGATCTTCTGGGAAGTATTTCCTCAGGGCCTGCACACAGGAGCTGTGGTCAAGAGGGGCCCCGAGCCTCCATCTGTAGCTGGAAGCAAGACTTGGTAATGTGTAAAGAGTCTCCTGCACAGTTCTAGTGTTGAAAACTTGAAGGGGTCACAGAGAGCAGTTGAGGCTTGGCACTTTGAGAGGCCAGGAAAAGCCTTAGGTGAAAATGCAGCTTCAGTTGCAGTGACGACCCCCAGGATTGATGGGGTCATGGAGAGAATCTGAGGCTTTGCACCCCAAGAGGCAAGAAGAGGCCATTGGTGAAGGTGTAGCCTCAGTTTCAGTGGAGACACCAGCTTTTTTGGAGATGCCAGGACCATGGGATGACCACCAAGGACAGCAGTAGATGTGGAATGGAGCTGGCCTGGATCTGTGAGACCTGTGTGTGCTGTGGACGGCAGAGTCAGAGAAGTGGAGCTGCCAAAATCCTTCAGAGCCCAGAAGATCATGAGAGAATCCCAGATGTCCAGCCTTGAGCTACTTTGCTGGACTTAGGTTTTGCTTAGGTGTGCACGATTCTTCCCTTTGAAATAAGACAGTGCTTGTTTTGGATTTTACAGGCACCCACAATTAAAAGACTTTTCAAAGAGACTATGAACTTTTAAGTGTTTGGATTTTTTTAAAGGACTGTGGGGCTTTTAAGGTTATACTGTCTTATGTTGTGACATTAGT